TACATGAGATGCTGTCTCCTGGGCTTAAAGTCCTAAAAATTCCCACTAGATAAAACATACTCTCAACTTCTAGGTTGTGACTACTTTTTAGTCAACAGTTTGTTGACCCATGAAGGGACCCAGGGCAGATTCCCCTCCTCCACCCGAACTCTACAAGGATCCAGAGCCTTGGTACCAGCAGAAACCACTTGTGTCCCCTACCTAAGGTTAAATGGGCCAAAAAGGACACCCTACTGTTCTCTAACATTAAAATCCAAACAAGTCTGTTCTATTTACCCCAGTTTTAAGTTATATATTTAAGGGGCTCAAAAATTTTACACTATTTGACTATTTGAGACAGTTAGGCCAAAGGGCCTGAACTTCTTGGCTCAACCTCACTCTGGGGATTCCAGAGCTTTTTATGTAAAGAAAGTAAAATGGACAGGGAACAAAACTAAACTCTTAGAGACCAAAACTTGTTGATGGGATCCTAGTAAAACTAAAGTTAAAGGTGTAAAAGTTAATGGAATTTTGATAAAAGTATATACATTGGTATATTTAAATGGGCTTAGTAATTACACTGTGGGATAGACATGTTTCACTGGGGAATAGTTCCCCAGCACGAATTGCTGGAGGATTGCTTAAGCCCTGGAGTTCTGGGCTGCAACACACTATGTGGATCAGGTGTCCGCACTAAGTCCGTCATCAATATGGTGACCTCCCAGGAGCCAGGGACCACCAGGTTGCTTAAGGAAGGAGGCATGTCTGTTTCACTGAGGGTCTCATTCCGGTCCATAGATTTTTACTTTGTTCTCTTTTCATGGGCTTTTCCCTTTGTTTTTTAGCCTCTGCCATTTTGGACTCCTTTTTCCTATTCTAACTACCTACCATTATTATAAGACAAGGCATACAGATTGTCACTAAAGAAATATTAACTGAACATACTGAGGAAATCAATAGAGTTACCTGAACCATACAAAATAAATAAAAACTGGAAACTAACATACAGTTCAGTTCAGTTCAGTCGCTCAGTAGTGTCCAACTCTTTGCAACCCCATGAATCGCAGCACGCCAGGCCACCCTGTCCATCACCAACTCCCGGAGTCTACTCAAACTCATGTCCATCGAGTCGGTGATGCCATCCAGCCATCTCATCCTCTATTGTCCCCTTCTCCTCCTGCCCCCAATCCCTCCCAGCATCAGGGTCTTTTCCAATGAGTCAGCTCTTCACCATCAGGTGGCCAAAGTATTGGAGTTTCAGCTCCAGCATCAGTCCTTCCAATGAACACCCAGGACTAATCTCCTTTAGGATGGACAGGTTGGATCTCCTTGCAGTCCAAGGGACTCTCAGGAGTCTTCTCCAACACCACAGTTCAAAAGCATCAATTCTTCGGTGCTCAGCTTTCTTTATAGTCCAACTCTCACATCCACACATGACTGCTGAAAAAACCATAGCCTTGACTAGATGGACCTTTGTTGGCAAAGTAATGTCCCTGCTTTTTAATATGCTGTCTAGGTTGGTCATAACTTTCCTTCCAAGGAGCAAGCGTCTTTTAATTTCATGGCTGCAGTCACCATCTGCCGTGATTTTGGAGCCCCCCAAAATAGTCAGCCAGTTTCCCCATCTATTTGCCCTTAAGTGATGAGACCGGATGCCATGATCCTAGTTTTCTGAATGTTAAGCTTTAAGCCAACTTTTTCACTCTCCTCTTTCACTTTCATCAAGAGACTCTTTAGTTCTTCTTCATTTCTGCCATAAGGGTGGTGTCATCTGCATATCTGAGGTAATTGACATTTCTCCTGGCAATCTTGATTCCAGCTTGTGCTTCTTCCAGCTCAGCATTTCTCATGATGTACTCTGCATATAAGTTATATAAGCAAGGTGACAATATGCAGCCTTGACGTACTTCTTTCCTATTTGGAATCAGTCTGTTGGTCCATGTCCAGTTCTAACTGTTGCTTCCTGACCTGCATACAGATTTCTTAAGAGGCAGGTCAGGTGATCTGGTATTCCCATCTCTTGAAGAATTTTCCAGTTTATTGTGATCCACACAGTCAAAGGCTTTGGCATAGTCAATAAAGCAGAAATAGATGTTTTTCTGGAACTCTATTGCTTTTTTGGTGATCCAATAGATGTTGGCCATTTTATCTCTGGTTCCTCTGCCTTTTCTAAAACCAGCTTGAATATCTGGAAGTTCACAGTTCACATACTGCTGAAGCCTGACATGGAGAATTTTGAGCATTACTTTACTAGCGTGTGAGATGAGTGCAACTGTGCGGTAGTTTGAGCATTCTTTGGCATTGCCTTTCTTTGGGATTGGAATGAAAACTGACCTTTTCATTTTCAAAACTGGCCACAGTCCTGTGGCCATGGCTGAGTGTTCCAAATTTGCTGGCATATTGAGTGCAGTACTTTCACAGCATCATCTTTTTGGATTTGAAATAGCTCAACTGGAATTCCATCACCTCCACTAGCTTTGTTCATAATGATGCTCCCTAAGTCCCATTTGACTTCACACTCCAAAATGGTGTATTTACATATAACCTACACATATCCTCCCATACATTTTAAGCCCTCTCTAAATACTTATAATATGTAAAGGCTATGTGGGTAGCTTTAAGTACAATATAAATGTTATGTAAATAGCTGGCAGGTATACAACAAATTCAAGTTTTGCTTTTTGGAAATTCTTTTTCAATATTTTTGATCCATGGTTGGCTGAATCTACAGATGTCGAACCAGCAGATACAGAGCGCTAAGTATCTTCTTCATTATTGTGATCCCTGTATCTAGCACCGTATAGGACATATAGCACTGAAAATGAAATGGAATGATACATTACCACAAACATTTATAGCATGGTACTTCCCTGGTGATCTAGTGGTTAAGACTCTGCCTTGCAGTGCGGGAGACACAGACAGGTGTGATCCCTGGTCGGGGAACTGCGCCCTCACATGTCTTGGAGCAACTAAGGCCGCATGCCACAGCTACTAAAGCCCACACACTCTGGAGCCCATGTGCTACAGAACTAAGACCCAGTGCAGTCAAATAAATTTTTTTTTTAATATAAAGCACAAACAAGAAAGGTACACAAACCATTTTTAATTAAGTTTCAAGAAAAATGGAATCAAATGAAATAGCAAAACACAGATCAGTAATTACTTATTGTTTATTCTCCTCTTACAAAAAGACACTTGGAACAAATAAATATAAAATGGTATAGGTCTTGTTTAGCAATGTGCAAATACAAGTTTTCTTGGTATTCTTAAGCTAATGAAGTTTTTATAAGTTCATCCATCCACCTCATCCTACCCACCTCCTACCCTCTATAAAAAGATCAATTCTACAAGTTTTAATAATGGATTCTCAAAATAAGTAATCTAAGACTTATTTTGTGACTAAGGTATCTGAATTAAGTTAAAAATATATGTATAATATGTTGTTACCTAGAAACCTCAACTAATTCAACTCATGAATATTCTTAAGTTTTCCATTTTTTATAATTTGTATAACTAAAGAGTCTGTTCTTTTCGAATCTAGGAGGAAACACTAAGTACAGATGTATTTAATATACAGTGAGCACGCCATGTGTTTTCTTATAGCCAAAAAATCCTGATTTTTTTATACCTTGCAGGTTGATGAAGCAGAAGACAGATACATAAATTATTTGTGACTAAATTTAGCTAATAAAATTAGCACACACACACAAAAACACAGACAACAATACACCAGAGTCTGAGCAATGATGAATATTCAATTGTATTTGTTTCACTAAAATTTATCTTCAGGCTAATACCTGAAGAGTTTTTCTAATACTTACAATTAAATATTCTTCTTTAATGACTTATGCATCAAGTAGAAATATGTACAATAGTTATTTCAAACTAGAAAAAGTGGGGGGGGAGAGGGTAATTCTTTTCCCCTGCCCTGTAAATAAAATATTTTCAAAAATCCATTTAAAATAAGTTCTTACTTGATGCTTTATAACTACTTTCTACTTTATAGAGATCATTTAGAAATGCAGAAAAGAATATAAAATATTTAAAGGTTATCAAAATAACCAAATGGATTTTTAATTTACCTCTGTGTACTTTCTGTACTACTGAGGTCTTGTCCTAATTAATCACATTTTCCTGGATCCCCTGTAATGTTAAAAACATGAATCTTAAAAAAACCGAAAAACTGGCTTTTAGACTTTAAAATAAGCCTCCTCCTCCTCTTCCTCCTCCGCAGCTACCCTTCAAATATTTTAAGCAGAAAATTAATGTGATTGCTTTAGGGGTTGATGTAATGTTCACTTAAAATAATCCACTTTAATTCAAACTTTTAGGACTGATATCAATTTCAATATCCAACGGAAGATGGAAGTAGAACATATGTTAGTACAAACAGTGCCAAATACAGAAAAAGCACCTAAAGGTGGAAGGAGACAGCTCTGATACCCTAGCTGTTCCATGGACATAACACCCTACGTTTCCCAAAAATATAGTTTATTTGGTTCTATGTCTGACTCTTTAAACTTCAAAAGCCAATTTAAAATTTAAGGGGTAATTTTTTTAACTCCTGGGCACAGATCAATTTCCTAGAAGGCGAAAAACAAGGTGAAGAGCCACTAAGCTACGTCAATGTGCATGATTAGGAATCCAATGGAAGCCACAGTGTGCTATGTTTGAGTGATTTAAGATAGCCTCTCCTCATGGCAGGAGACAGCGCGTCATGATAGGTGCAGGTTGTGCTCACTCCTTCAGAAACATACACACATCGCCTTCTTAGTGAGACTCCACTTTGTTACAATTTAAAAATCTGAACTTAATTCCAGAGAATATAAATTCATGGAATATGAATTTGAAGACAGGGTACAAACAGCAGTTGAGTGGAATCTGCCTGCAACAATCCTTTATTTTTTTTTTCCTTTAAGGTTACAGAAAATCTGCACATAGACAAGGCAATTAATTCTCAAAATAAAAATACTCCCCTCCAAATAGCCAGTCAGATTTCACAGTATATGTTATAACACATTCTATTCCACAGGTGTACATTCTTTTGAGTCTGCAGGGTGAGGATCAATTCTCTCTGGAAATATTAGCTTCTCACAAACTGCCTCCTTTATCGGTAAATACTGTGATATTTCATTAGGTTCCGTGAAGAGGGAAGGTGAAACATGCTAGGAAATACATAAATCATATTAGCATATATAAAGGCACTACATTGATAACTTTGGAAATGCTTTGGCTCAAGCATTCCTAAAGCATGAGAATTTTAAAATGAGGTACAGTATATGTATATAAGGAACATCATTAGGTACTCCTAATAATATCTCTTGTTACTGACTCATTTAGCTCTGTTACTACAGGGTTTCCTCAAAAATCATAGGAGATGTTATTTATAATGCACCATCAAATGTTCTAAGAATTTAATACATCTTATTCCAATTCCCTTTTCCTGTTATTTTTGTATCCTGAAAGCGCCAGTCTTCAGTTAGATGCCAATATGTAGTCTACAATAGACTCTAAGTAACTTTTCTAAATCATACATATTCTATTTGGTTGCCCAAAAGGTTCATTCAGATTTTTCCATAACATCTTAACATCAAAACCCAAACAAACATTTTGGCCAACCCAATACATACAGATAGAAATAAGCACTAAGGGTGAATTTAAAAATATCAATTTGTCAGGAAGGTATCACTTTTTAAATAAGCCATTATTAACTCCTGTAGCCTTGCAGAAGCCCTTTACAAGTTCCAGGGGAGCAAAAAAAGGAAGAGGGTATTATGCCCCCCAAAATAAGTAGTAGAAAAAACATCCTATTGCAGCTCCACCACCAACCAGTTGTAAGAGCTGGAGTAAGTCACACCTCTGGCTCTCAGTGTTTCCAGAATACAAGTGGAAATTGGGTTGGATGATGACTAAGATACCTAACAACTCTAACTGTAATTGAGGTAAGTACCAGAAAAAATATACACTTCAGCAGGATTTACCTACCTATTAGGTTAATGAATGGATTTAGGGATACAGGTTTGGTGGATGGGTGGGACATGGGAGGATACCATACCTAAAATAAAACATTAAAACTTAACTTTTAAAAATTTATATTTAAATACTATACCATTAAATTAGCAATTTTGCTCTCTCGTGATGTATATTCTCGTAACATGTAGGTCTTGTCAGCCTATATTTAAAAATAAAAAAATCACAATAAATTTATTTATATTGATTTACAAAATCTTTCCTATTAAACAGAATTGCCTGCATTTTAGAACAGTTTGTGAAAGTAGCATTAAGTCTGGTGAGACCAGCTAATTCTACAGTGAGATAACTAATTCAAGAATTCTGAATTATTAATTCCAATCTGTATAAATTACAGTAATATCAGATACACATATGTAAACATATTTAATAATTATCATGTAAGGGAAACACAAGCACAGGTTTTACTCTGAAAGAAAATGTATATATTTGTAATGAGATATGTTAGAGATTTAAATATCATTTCAAGTTTGGAACCACACCTTCTCCTTAAGCTATACTAGCATCTACCTACATAACTGTGGCTACCCTTATATTCAAAAAAAAGAAGAAAGCTTAAACACATTTTATTCTTTCCTATTTCTAAAAATTTGTTAAATTGCTTATTTATAGTCACTTTTTCAATACTTCAACTTTCCCATTTAAGATCTTTTAAAGGGAGGTTTTAGAAAGCAATTTATTATAATTTGGTTTTTGGTAAAACATTATTTAATAAGAGAAAAAAACCACAAGATTACATTCCCTTAAAGTTTCAATCTTCTATATCAACAAAAAGATTGATGCTCATTGTAAAAAAATCAAATAATATAAACATAAGAGTATAAATCATCAACAATCACAAATTCTACAGATAATACTATCCTCAACATTTAGAAATCTCTACAGAAAATCTTAGATTCATACTTGCACCTTAAAAGTCAATATTAATTTATACATCTCTTCAAATCAACCACGAATTTTAATGGTTGAATATTTTCTACTATATGAATTGTAAAAAATTAAAAATAGAAACCTCAATTAAATACAGTTTGGAGACTAAAACGGAGAGCTCTCACATCCAGTAACCATAGCAAAGCCCAACAAAAAAAAGACTCCTCTTAGTTTCTGGCAAGGAATCAGCCAATGGAAAGTCATGGACTCTCTGTTTCCTATAGCCATCCCACCTTCCTTTTCCAGTCTATAGAAGTATTCTCCTTCCCTTGCCAGGCAGGGACTTTCACATGGCTCGCCATGGTTACAGATCCCAAACTGCAATTTTCAGCTGATCCTGAATAAATCCAATTTTGCTGGAGAAATATCTGGCAGTCTATTTGTAGCAGATTAACAGGATATAAATGGCCATTTAATCAATACTCATTCAATGGTTATTAAAGCACTTTCCTTCTTTCCTTTGGGGCTTCCCTGGTAGCTCAGATGGTAAAGCGTCTGACTACAATGCAGGAGACCTGGGTTCGATCCCTAGGTCAGGAAGATCCCCTGGAGAAGGAAATGGCAACCCACTCCAGTATTCTTGCCTGAAAAATCCTCGAACTGTTACAAACAATAGCATTTCCATGAATACATACATACACACACACACACACACACACATATACACACACAGAAACAACTCTATACATCTGCCTAATTGAAATTTGTGGGTTACTAAATATAAGAATATTTTTGAGGATAAACCCTGAAAAGAAATCAACATTTCTGAACTAAAGTGCAAGCATTTCTAAAAATGCAAATTTCATTTTTTCCTGAGGCAGTAAAATATAGCCTATCTTTAGTACTATCACTTTTGAAAAGAAAAAGATCCAGGCGCTTTCCTGGTGATCCAGTGGTTAAGACTCCAAGCTTCTACCACTGAAGGTAGCCGGGGTGGGGGTTTCAATCCTTGGTTGGGGAGCTATCCAAGAGGCCACACACTGTGGCCATAAAAAAAGGAAAATACCAATCCAATTGTATCTTACTGGGTTCAAATCCCAGTTCTGCCACCTGTTAATTGTATGCAAAAAAGTGAAAGTGAAAGTCACATCCGACTCTTTGCAACTGTACAGTCCAAGGAATTCTCCAGGTCAGAATAGTGGAGTGGGTAGCCGTTCCCTTCTCCAAGGGATCTTCCCAACCCAGGGATTGAATCCAGGTCTCCCACATTGCAGGCAGCTTCTTTACCAGCTGAGCCACAAGGGAAGCCCAAGTATACTGGAGTGGGTAGCCTATCCCTCCTCCAGAGGATCTTCTCAACCCACAAATCGAACTGGGTTCTCTGCATTGGATGTGGATTCTTTACCAACTGAGCTATCAGAGAAGCCCTATTAATTGTATCACTTAGGCAATTTACTTAATTTCTCTTTGCCTTAGTTGCCTCAGCTTTATAAAGCAGAGATAATGATAATATTTATTTTATAGGATTATTAAGAAAGTTAACTATTACTACAATTACTGTGACTGATACTGGTGGGGTCTTCTCTCATTTGTCTTTCTGGTGGTCTCTTCTTTTATTTATCATTCTGTATGATCACAAATCTGATGTCAAAAATTCATTAAAAAAGGATAGGCTGCTATAAGCTACTAGAAGTTTTTATGACTTAATTAAGCCTCCCTATACTTTCTTCACTTATTTTTTAAGAATCTTGTAGGTTAACAATTCCTTGAAATAGAACACAGAACTTCCAAGCATTAAGACAACTATTAAAATGATGGGATGATACAAATTTCTGGAGGCTATGTGATTGATATTTCTAATATCAGGACATCACATAAACAACACATACTATTAAAAAAAAAGTATGAGTTAAGGGATAGTTTTCTGAAACAGATTAAACAGAGTAAACACAATTTTTTAAAAAAAGCATTAGGCTCCCCTTAATGGAAATGCCTTTTAGAAAAACATTTTCAACTACTAGAACTTTTGGAAAAGAAGAGGTAATGTTTTGATAACTGTGCAGTCAACAGTGAATGTGAAACATTCAATCTTAAAGGTTAGATGGATAACCATATAATATAAAGCACTGTTGAATATCAAACTGTCAGACTGACAATGTAACATGAACAAGCCAAATATTAACTAGTATATTCTCTAAATAAGAAGAGATACCTCATGGTAAAGTCTTGTGTCATTCATTCTAATAAGCACCCCATCAATTCTCAAGAAAAATCGCAACAGCAAGAAAAAGCTAGAAGGCATTACTCTCTGGAAAAGAAAAAAAGTATATCAATATTTTAATGAAAATTAAATATTTTATTAACTTGTTAAAAGAAAAAAATTTTTAAGGCATAAAATCTCTCAACTAGAGGTTCTTTGCCCGAGTTCCAACCAAAACTGAAAACCAGTTTATATTATGTAACATAACATAAACAGCTTCCTGTAATAGAAAAATATTTTTTCTATGTCAAAAGATAATGAGGTTAAAGACTTAAAACATACCTAAATAACATGAAAATTATAATGTTCACTATTAAAAAAATGACACTTATAGTAAATGTCAATATCAGTAACATAAAAATGAGAAAACAACCTAGTTCTTTGTTGCTACTCATCTTTCATTAACTTTACGTAAAGACAAGAGGCCTTTAATGGTATGGTTTAATTCAACACAACCAAGTATTTACTATTTTATACTGCCAAGGTCTGGTTTATGAGATCATTATAACATGTTCTTAGCACTCTGACCTGTGTCACATCTACACATTTCTGTTTTCCAAGTATTAAGTCAGGATGAGTGGAGTGTGGGTCCTGGTGTCAGGAAGGCAGGGGATGGACAGGGTGTGGGGTCTTCAGGTCTTTAAACCTCATAGGAATGCTGCCAGAAACTAGGTTACCTTTGTTTCTCCCCTTCAATCTACAACCTGCAAAACATCCACAACTGAACAAAAGTATACCTGTGCCCAACTCAATCAGTCAATGGAGAATTCCACATATCTATACATCTATTGGTGGGTGTACTGGAACATATGGAGGTGCAGAACCAAAGGAACAGTGGAGTCCGTGCCTGCAATCCCAGCCTCATGTCTGTGATAGCTGAGCCCACAGCCTCAGAAACCCCAGCAGCAGGGGAAGCGGCACACGTGACTTTGGTGTCCTGCATGTGGGAGCCCCTGTGGGCATAGGTGCCTGGGAAGCAGTAGCAGCGGGGCCGAGGACTCTACGCCTCCAGCGGCTGACGTACCCAAAGACCTGCGCCCAGTCTGCAACGGCAGAGCCCAAGACGCTCACGACACCCAACATGGTGGAGGTGACTGCACAACCCTGCTCCCCTGCAATTGTCATCCTCCTCCAGAGCAGAGCCGATGTCTCGGGGACCCCAGACACGAGGGAGAGTGCTCTCACTTCTCACTTGTTATTTAAGTACACCGGCAGAGGAGCACTTCAAGCACCATGAAGAACCATAGTAACACTACACCACAAAAAGAAACGACAAACCTCCAGAAACCAAACTTAAAGTCACAGAATATTTCAATCTAACTGATAGAGAATTCAAAGTAGCTACTGTGAAGAAACTTAATGAGATTTAAGAAAACTCAGGGGAGGGAGCTTTAACATGGCTGAGGAATAGGACAGGGAGATGAACTTCTCCCCCACAAATATATTAAAAAAAAAAAACCATCTGCACGTGGAACAATTCCCACAGAACATCTTCTGAATGCAGACAGAGGACCCCAGACTTTCAGAAAGGCAAACCAATCTCCTCAGAATAAGGTAGGGCAAGAGATAAAAAGGGAGAAAAAGGAGTTCCAGGGGACCTGAGCCCCTGGGAGGGAGTTATGAAGGAGGAAAAGTTTCTGCACACTAGGACAACCCCTCACAGGCAGGGTCAGGGGGAAGCTTCAGAACCTCAGAGGGGAACACAGCAAGCCAGGTGCTCTGAAAGCAAACTGGAGAAAATTCACCACAGAGACTGCACTGGTTGGCACTTCCCAGCCAAGAAGCAGCTCACACTCGCGTCTCCCCACAGTTGAGTAGGGGCTGGGCGCAGAGGCTCAGCCCTTGGGGATTGGTCCTCAGGGAAAGGATCAGGGTTGACTGCTGTGAGGATACTCTGGGGGCGCTAACAAGACACTGCAGAGGCAGACCTGGGAAAATGCCAGAAAAGCAAAAGATCATTCCCATGGGAAGACTCTAATGCTTCACTCTAGCTCTGCACGCTCACAGAAAAAAGGACACAACCCTAGTGAATGCCAAATGGGGGCAAGATGGCAGTGGTCTATGGCCCCAGAGGCAGAGAGGCAGGTGGAAATGCCAGAGGTGGAAGGTAGAGGGCCACTAAGGTCCCGAACCCAGAGACTGCATCTACCGCCAAGCTGTGAGTGGCTAAGGGTTGCTACCCACGTCTTCCTGGGAGCCTGAGCAGCACGACTCTGCCAAGCACCAGGACCAACTCCCCTGGGGAAGTGCACAGCTTGCCTCAGACTGGGGACCTCCCGCAGGGACCAAGCAGGGACCAGCTGTGGCGAGCACTCCTCACACACCTAACAACATCTGCCTTACCCCTCCCCCATCCCGGCACAACTGAGCAAGTGAGCCCTAATAAGCTCCTATTTTCACCCCCTCATGTCTAGGTGAAGGACACAGAAGAGAGACTTACAAGCAGTTTTTGTTCAGTCGTTAAGTCGTGTCCTACTCTTTGCAGCCCCATGGTCTGCAGCATGCCAGGCTTCCCTGTCCTTCACTGTCTCCCAGAATTTGCTCAAGCTCACGTCCAATGATTCAGAGATGCCATCCAACCATTTCATTCTCTGTGGCCCCCTTCTCCTCCTGTCCTCAATCCTTCCCAGCATCAGGGTCTTTTCCAATGAGTCAACTCTTCACATCAGGTGGTCAAAATCTTGGAGCTTCAGCTTCAGCATGAGTCCTTCCAAGGGATATTCAGGGTTGATTTTCTTTAGGATTGGCTGGTTTGATCTCCTTGCTGTCCAAGGAATTCTCAAGAGTGTTCTCCAGTACCACAGTTTGAAAGCATCAATTCTTTGGCACTCAGCCTTCTTTATGGTCCAATTCTCACATCTGTACATGGCTGCTGAAAAAATCACACCTTTGACCATACTTAATATGCTGTCTAGGTTTGTCATAGCTTTTCTTCCAAGGAGCAAGCATCTTTTAATTTCATGGCTGCAGTCACCGTCCACAGTGATTTTGGAGCCAAGGAAATAAAGTCTGTTACTGTTTACATTTTTTGCCCACCTATTTCCCATGAAGTGATGAGACCAAATGCCACAATCTCAGTTTTTTGAATGTTGAGTGTTAAGCCAGCTTTTTCACTCTCCTCTTTCACCTTCATCAAGAGGTTCTTTAGTTCCTCTTTACTTTCTGCCATTGGGATAGTATCATGTGTATATCTACGGTTGTTATTTCTCCTGGCAACCTTGATTCTAATTTGTGATTCATCTAGCTCAGCATTTCACATGATATACTCTGCATATAAGTTAAATAAGCAGGGTGACAATACATAGCCTTGACATACTACTTTCCCAATTTTGAACCAGTCCATTGTTTCATGTTCCAGTTCTAACTGTTGCTTCTTTTCCTGCATAAAGGTTTCTCAGGAGGTAGGTAAGGTGGTCTAGCACTCCCATCTCTTTCAGAATTTTCCACAGTTTGTTATGATCTACAAGGTCAAAGGTTTTTTGCATAGTCAATGAAATAGAAGTAGATGTTTTTCTGGGATTCCCTTGCTTTCTCTATGATCCAGTGGATGTTGGCAATTTGATCTGTGGTCCCTCTGCCTTTTCTAAATCCAACTTTTACACATGGAAATCCTCAGTTCATGTACTGTTGAAGCCTAGTTTGAAGGATTTTGAGCATCACCTTGCTAGTATGTGAAATGAGCTCAACTGTACACTAGCTGGAACATTCTTTGGCATTGCCCTTCTTTGGGATCAGAATGAAAACTGACCTCTTCCAGAGGTAAGGCACCTTATAAGGAGAGGTGGGCTCCAAACCAAAGCAGAATGCCAGTGGCTGTGTAAGCAAAGGAAGGAAGGGGAAACTGGCCCGGAAGTGGCAGGTGCAATGGTTTACATTTCCACTCTAAGCCTGAGGCCGTAAGCTTTAGAGGCAACTGTAGATTTTGAGAACAAGTACAAACTGGAACAACGGAAGATACCCACAACAGGTCAAGATCTTCCTAGAAATACTGGAGGTCTTTCTGGGTAGGCAAATCGACTGGAGCAGGAAAAAGGAAGAATCATTTGGACATTCCTCTCACTACCACTCTCTCTCTCTCTCTCTCTCTCTCTCTATATATATATATATATATGTATATATATATATACATATATATACATATATATACATATATATATATTTGTTTTTTTCCCCTTTTAAAAAATTATTTTCTCATATTGTCCTAATATGGTTATTTATTAATCCTTTATTTTTTATTTTTATAACCTTTTTCCATAAAAAACCTCTATTTTTAAAATAAATTCCATGTTTCTGATTTTTGGTTTTTGATTTTTTGTTTTTACTTTTGTATCTTTAAGAGTATAATTTTTAGTATCTGTTTTCACTGAGGGGTTTGATTACTGGCTTGATTGCTGTCTTTTGACTCCTCTTCACAGCATTTCTTCACCCCCTTTTTCTTCATTTTCCTTCTCCTTTTTCCTCTGTCAGTGTGCCAATCTCTTTGGGTGTTCTTGGCTTTTGATAGCTGTTTCACGTTAGTCTAGGCATTTTGTCTTCTGTGCTATGTGGACTGTGAAATCTTGATGCTATTGTAAGGAGTCGGACCTGAACCCCAGATGCAGGAGACTTGACTCCCAGGACTTTGGATCACCAAAACTCCTGACCCCATTGACATTAATAGGTGAGAGCCCTCCCAAAGGCCTCCATCTCAACACTAAGACCAAGCCCCACCTAAAATCCAGCAAGTTCCAGTGCTGGACACCCCATGCCAATCCTTCAGCAAAAGAGGGGCACAACCCTGGCACATTAGCAGACAGGCTGCCCAAAGCCATACTGATTCCATAAACACCCCAAAACACACCACTGAACACTGCATTAAAGAAAAAAGAATAAAAAAGAAATGAGGATAGTCTCTGAGACTTCTGGGACAACATTTAGCACCCCAATATTCAAATCATAGGGGTCCCAGAAGAAGATAAAAGGAAAGGGCAAGAGAAAATATTTAAGGATATTTTAGTTGAAAACTTCCCTAAAATGGGAAAAGATACAGCCACCCAAGTCCAGGAAAC